AAAAAAAAAAAAAAAAGAAAAAAAAAAAAAAAAAAAACGCTTACACACGAAGGTAATTTAATTCAAATGTACTCTATGGCTTGGCTTTAAATAAGAAGGTATTAGTACAATGTTGTAAATGCCAAATATTTACTTAAAGTTGTGCTTCGATTGCTTTAGAGAACTGAAGAGAGAGGAAGTGCACGTGTGTGTATAGAGCTAAACCCTCATCTTCCACAGTAGAAGGCCAATGTATAATATGGATAACAATATACAGAAGTTGCAGTATGTTCTTTAGAAGTATAAGTGTTAACATTTTAAGAAACAGCTAAATAACCAAAAGTGATTGCTTCTAGGAAAAAGAAAAAAATTGATTGCTTCTAGGAAAAAGAAACTACGAAGAAGAAACAGTAAGCAGTGCTGTTTTGTATCATAAAATTCATTCTGTTATTTACCTTTAAACACCGTACATGCTTTTATTGAGAAACTCAAAGGCCTTGAGGGTTATTATAAGAGAATTCTGGGCTAATTGGTGGTTCTATCACTTCCTGAGCGGTTGACCCAGGCACATAACTTAATCCTGATTGGCGGTGGCCAGTACAGGATCCAAATATATAACCTTGGTGTTACAAGGCTGTGCTCTAAGCAACTGAGCTAATCAGCCAGCACACCAGGCACCTCATCTAACCTCTCACAGCTTCCATTTCCTCATTCTTAAAGTGGAGACAGTATTACTGACTGTGTAAGCTGGTTGTGAAGATCAGATTGACTAAATGTCCAATGTTGCGCACAACATCTGAAAACTTGTGTTACCTAGGCCTGTGCTAAACCTTGTAGCAGAATGGAATCCGCACACGTGAGCATTGTCAGGAGAGAGACTTGGAGGTCAGGTTCTGTGTACCCCAAGGGCTGGCTGTGGACTAGCCTGGATGAATTCCTCAGCCTCATTACTACTGACATTATTCACCTGTAAACAAGGTGTGACATAGTACTCAGTTTATGATGGTTGTGTGGACTAAAATAGAAAACACACTCCTGATCCCTGGTACATGGTAAGTGCCTGATAAATGGTAGCTGTTGTTTTGCATTATTGATGGAATTATACGGACATTATAATAATAGGACATAACATAAAAATTATATATTGGTCTTATTGTTATTCAATTTTTTAATGATGTCAGTGAATACTTAATGATATAAGAAAGCTTTATTACGTATTGGTAAGTAAAAAAAGAAGCAGGATTCAATGAGAGGAGAGTACCTAGCTTTCAATCAATGTCTGTCCAGTAGATGAATTAACGAGAGGAGGAGGGAAGGAAGGAGCCTTGCTTTTTTTAAGTGAGTATACATAATTATAGAAAGAACTTGAGGAAAGTAGAACGTGAACATCACTAGCCTCTGCAGAGTTCATTACAAGCGATTTCCTTTTCTTCTTCTTTGTGCTCCTCAGTAGCTTCCAAATCTGTTAACACGAATCTCTACTGCCTTTGTAATCAGATAAGAGCATAAAAATGATATCTAAAATCAGAGGTTTGGAATAGAGAATATAATTTTTCATATTTCCTTATATTCCTGGTTTAAGAGTACCTAAAATACATAATTAAAAAAAGAACTTGAGGAAAGTAGAATGTTAACATCACTTGCCTCTGCAGAGTTGATTACAAGTGATTTCCTTTTCTTCTTCTTTGTGCTCCTCAGTAGCTTCCAAATCTGTTAACACGAATCTCTACTGCCTTTGTAATCAGATAAGAGCATAAAAATGATATCTAAAATCAGAGGTTTGGAATAGAGAATATAATTTTTCATATTTTACCTTATATTCCTGGTTTAAAAGTACCTAAAGCCCCTTTCACATAAAAATAATAAACCATCCGACAACCCTTCGTACCAATTACTATATTCTGCTATGATGGAGTAGATTCAAGTGAACTGCAGACATTCCATCAGGTAAAGCTTGAGTTCCACCGCATGTGAGAGAAAAACCCAGATATTAATGATTTCAACAAGATAGGTGTTTAATTTCCTCTCACGTGACGTGCAATCCGGAGTGGGCAGTCTGGGCTGGGACGAGTTTCACATGTCATTTGTGCCATCTTTCTGCTTGGCCATCCTGGGTGCACCCTTGAAGTTATCTCGTGGTCTCATGATGCTGTGGCAACTCAAGTCACCACGTCTTCATTTCAGGTCAGAACACCCGACTTGGGGACATCTGCTTGCAACTCATTGACCAGAACTGCATCCCGTGAATACCACAGCTGAAAGGGAGGAAGGGAAATGTCGTTTTTAGCAAACATCCCTGTAATCGGGATTCTCCAGTTAGATAGAAAGGGAGAAAGTTTTGGGGTGGGCAACTCAACATCTTTGCCAAATTCTTGTGTGGCCAGTGGGGCACCAGAAGTGGCCCAGCCCTTCTCCTCCAGGGAGAGGAAGTCTCTGTGCACCGTTTCCTCCCACGGATCCTCTTTCTCCTTATGACTCTGTTACGAGTAACAAAGAGGAATATCAGGAGTGGGTGTTACTAGTCCCCTTTTTATATGTGAGAAACGGGGGCTCGGGTAGGTTCAATAACTCCTGCAGAGTCACCCAGCTTAGGAAATTCCAGAGCCAGGCCTCTAACTCGGGCCTGTGCACCTCCAAAACTCATGTTCTTCCCACTACATCATCCTGACTCCACCGGCTGGAGAGTTGGATGATCGTTCTTGTTTACTGTCAACCACATCCATGTGCTGTTTAGTTAGGGGTACATGGTAGATAATTAGTAAATATTTGTCCAGTGAGTGAGCGATTGTCTCTCAGTGAGGAGCTCCCTGTGTACGTGGGGACATTGATCGGGACTCTAAGAGCCATCTGCAGATGTTGGGAAGCACTGGGGATGGAGCCCCCACTCTTTCTCGGAGCACCCCAGGAAAACTTCACCAAGGACATAATGTAGCACCTGAGCCCGGAGGGTGCTGATAAAGGAAATTCTATTATGTTTCTGTTTTGTGGAAGGATGTTATTAATTGACATCTAGTCTAGAGAATGGAATAGTCACAGTTAATAATATTGAGAAATTCTTTAGGAAAGTAGACATTTCTGTTGAAAGTTGTATTAAAATTCATATAGGTACAAAGGATTAGGACAAATTTAGTTATTCCCCCAATTGCTCACTTTAATTTTTAAGGCTGCCTTTATGTGAAACTGTGGTATTTCACTAAAAAGTAAAATATGCCCACATTAGCTCATTTGGTCTAAAGGACATCTAGTAAATCCACACGTTACTTTGAGTTTTAATTGAATAAGTTTGTTAAAACAGCAGAACCAGTTGTATCTAGTGGCACAATTTATAAATACTAAGTCTGAAATTGGTCTATAGGTTTCTTGGGTCAATGAAAAGTGTACTGAAATAGGAACGAGGAAACCTGGCTGGATGGAACTAGTCACATGCTGCTGTGGGTAAATGGTTACGCCTCTCTGGACTTCAGTGTTCTAACTCATAAAAATGAAAGAGCTGGACGAGATTGTACCTTTGGCCCTTTCCAGCTCTGACATTTTATACTTCAGTCTCAGTGATCCAAACCACCAAAACCATTTTGTTGTCACCTGCCATTATTCTCCAGAAGATTGTCCTCTTGCCCTTGCAAGTATTTATGTATCAGAGAATGGCTTTCATTGAAATGCATCAAGAAATAACTATTTAAATGAATGCTAAAAGGAAAATTTTTGTTCTGGATTTTTTTTAACTTTAGAGAGTGTAACTTTTTAATAGCTTCCCTCTAAATATCTTCCTGTTGGTGATCAGCTGTACATAGTGGCATTCTCTAGGTAGTGTTTCCATATGCCGCATTTTTATTTCACTTTTGTATGAAAAAAACAATCAAACTTGGTTCATAAGAACTCTCTTTCTGGAGAAATTCGGAGGAAATTTCTGATTTTTTTTTTTCTTTCCAAAGGCATCCCTGCCAGCTACAAGTGAGATTCCATATGGTGTGTGCTATTCAAAGAGAAAGTGCTCTGGATTTTTTTCACACCCCAACTACCCGTATTTCAGATGTTCCAAAGAATGTCTACCTAAAAGGGAGTTGCAAAAAAGATCATAAAATTATCTGGCATCATTTACTAAAGAAAATATGGATAGTATTTAGTAACATTTTATCACATCATTGCACATAAAAGAAGGAAGTTAGTAACTACTAGTTACTAAAGTATAATTTGAAGCAAAAGAAAGGTTTGTTGTGTTCCTTTGTCTTACTTGAAATGACTTTCACACTGAATAGTTGCTGTCTTTTCTAAAACACTGATTTTTCTCTGTAACATTTGTACTTATAGTAGTAATTAACAATCTGTAATGTGTAATCATTTACATTATACATACATGTAGTCTTGGTTTTGCAGTTTGAATCTCTTGTAATCATTCCGTCTCCATAGTAATTCCAACATGCCCCTCTTACCTATCACCCTGCAGAGAACAAGNTAGGGGTACATGGTAGATAATTAGTAAATATTTGTCCAGTGAGTGAGCGATTGTCTCTCAGAGAGGAGCTCCCTGTGTTCGTGGGGACATTTATCGGGACTCTAAGAGCCATCTGCAGATGTTGGGAAGCATTGGGGACGGAGCCCCCACTCTTTCTGGGAGCACCGCAGGAAAACTTCACCAAGGACATAATGTAGCACCTGAGCCCAGAGGGCTGAGCAGGGGGTGCTGATAAAGGAAGGTCATTGCAAGCAGAAGGGACAGTGTGAGCTCAGGCTTGAAGGTGCAGTGGAAGCGCTGTAGGGAATTTGGGGTACTCAGGGAGATGGGGGTGATGAGGCTCCGGAGCTACGGGAGCCAGGGAGAGCAGGGCTGGGCCGGGGGGCTGCAGGGCTGGACCCACCCAGAGGCTTTTTGTCCTTTGGGAGGAGCAAGTTGAGGAAATGAGTTTGGATTCATGGGCCTCAGTCTTGGGCACCCAATGTTGAACTTGCCATGTTTTCACCACAGTATAACCCCTCACTCCACTCTTCCTTGTTTAGTTCTCTGTGATTCTATTTTTGAATTTTACAAAGTGAACACCCTACATGATTTGTCCTGAAAACTCCAATTTCATTCTTCCAATTATGTGAGCTTATTCTTCCCTGTTGGGGCCCTGGATTGAATCCCCAGGGCTTCACCACAGCTCCCCTGCTCCTGCCACTGACTGGGCCACTCTTGTTTGGAAGCCTAATCTATACTGTGTACCTAAGCTTTCCTTACAATTGCACCTCTCAAAGTTAAGAAGGCGACAGTGTGCATGGAAACTGAAGTTGAGTTGTTTCCAGAGAAAACCACTTTCAATCTCAGATGGCTCCATGAAAGCAAGGGTTAATCTAATTCCTTCTGTAGTGGGTCCAACATTTGACAAGTCACAGATACAGGCTGCAAA